AAAACCACGGGGACAGGAGAAAGACAACAGCGTCCCATATACTCGATAAAGGTTCTCCCCACACGGGAATCGAATTAGGGTCATTTTTGCATTTGGTCGCTTTTAAAGGACTAGCGGGCTACCCAGGTTTTAAAGTTTAAGACAGATTCAGAATAGCCGTCTGTTGTGAAGTGCTTAGGGACCTCGCCGTCAATTGGTCACTTTTAAGCGCAAGGGGGCGATCCCGAAAAATTATGTTTTGAGAAAATCGAAGGTAAAGTTCCTTATTCAGTTTCTTTAAAAGACAAGGAGAGTTTTCTCTAAAAACCAAACAGATATACACACCAATAAAACCAAACTTCTCCTATAGGTAGGGCAATGCCAGCTTTTGGTGTAGGTCAAGATTTCTGGAAACCCCCGAAATCTGGGTTTGCCCGCTTGTCCTTAAGCTTCGACCAATTATTTTTTAACGGAAAAGAAGCAATCAATGAGTCCCTTAAAAAGCTTTTAAGCTTGATATTGTCACGGTTTACAATTTGTGACCGTGTTGCCTACATGGATTTTTTCTTTGTAGACTCCTCATTACGAAATGCATGTGGCACAAAAAGTTGGATCACTGTTGCTTGTTTTCGTTTGTTGTGTTTTGTTTTGTTTTTTTCCACTTGTTTTTTTTTCATTTGTCGTGGGTGGTTGGCGGGTGCTCTGGTGTCGTTAACTCCTTCTTCCCTATAAAACATCTATCGTCCGTATCTCCCCTCCACCTTTTCTGTGTATGTTACTCTCTTGTGACACATCTATTCTGCGGCACTTATATGACCTTATTGTGTTGCAAGTGCCGTAAAACTCTTACTAAAAAATTTTTTTTAACTTTCGTTTGTTTTTCTTTCTTCTCCAGATACGCTCAGCAACTCAAAGGGACGAAGATCTGAAGTAAGCGACACTCTGTTAGACACGAGGGAAGCACGTTGGTGTGATACGCCTGTCATTTGGTTTAAAGAAAAGGCTGTTGTTGTTGTTGTTATTGTTGTTGTTGTTGTTGTTGTTGTTGTTGTTGTTGTTGCTGTTTTTGTGTTGTTGATGTTGTTTATATTATTATTTTTATTTTTTAAAAATTATTATCATTATTATTATCATCATCAGTATCTATCTATCTATCTATCTATCTATCTATCTATCTATCTATCTATCTATCTCTCTCTCTCTCTCT